CATGATTAGTGGTCAATCGTGCCGTTGCCGAAGCGTTTGACGAAGCGGCACGTCTGAGTCAGCAAAAATGGGGGTTGATCGGCAATTTCACCGGCAATGCCGTTTGTAAAAACTCTCTGTGGTTTTTCCGTTGGCAAACATTCCTTCCTCTCTGCTGGCATGCATGTGTGCCAACTGCCTCTCCTCTCCTCCTTCCCCTACACACGTGAGTTGTGTGCCATGTGTTTGTGTGTATGTTGTTGCAAGTTCATGCTGGTGGTGCTGTTGTTGGAGACTTGTGTGTGTGTGTGTGTGTGTGTGTGTGTGTGTGTGTGTGCTGTGTGTGCTGTGTGTTGTGTGGGAGATTGTCTTGGCAAGAGAGAGTTGTGTGTGTTTACTTGAGTTGTGAAGCAAACAAGGATGTAGGATGAATGAACACTCCAACAGAAAGAAACAGAGCAGAAGACAAGAATTGTCGACAACGCAAAGTGGTGACGTGGCAGTGTTTGTTGAGAGTTGTGTGGTTATGTGGTGTGTTATGCAAGAACATGTAACATCGAGCAACCACACAAGGAAAACACTGCACGTGCAACAGGTTGGAGGGAAATCACGTGAACATTCCAGAACACAAGAGAGGTGAATGTAAATTTGTGGTGTCGTAAAGAAGGGAGGTCAATGATGACTCAGCAGACAGGACTTGCCTGTCAACACTCCCCCGCATTGACCTACCTCTCTGCTGCGTTGATGTTCTGAAACGTGATGAGCATGTGGATGATGTCATGCATGTAGGAATGGCATGGGCGGATGTAGGTGAGATGCGAGTAAGGACGTGTGTTGTGGAACACGTTTAAGAAAATGGTTGGTGCCTGTGGTGCGCAGCCTGTTGTGGAAGGCTGGCCCGAGTGAAGGCGTGTCCTGTGGTGCGCGGCCACTCAGAGGTCCTGACGCGGAGTCGAAGGACGTGGCGACCGGCCCGAATGAGGACGGGCCCGTGGCTGGCAGCCTGGCAGAGGACGCTGGTCGAACAGCATCGTGCAGAACTGAGCCGTCTTGGGCCGAGGGAGGATCTTCGTGAGGAGATCTGCGATCATGTGCTCCGTGGCGAGGTAGCTCAGCACAATCCTCTTGGTGTCGACGCACTCGCGGATGTAGTGGTACTTGACGAGGATGTGCCGCATGCGCGAGGCGGCGTGTTCGGCAACGCGCTGCGCCGGCTGGTTGTCCGTGTGGACGAGCGTGGGCTCGCACAGGACGGCGCCGGTGAGCTCCTCCTGGAGTTGGCGAAGGAACATGAGTTCCTGTGCAGTGGCTGCGAGAGCCATGTACTCCGCGTCGGCGGAGGCTGTGGCCACGGTGGCCTGCAGCTTGGAGTTCCAGGACACGGGGCCCGTGGAACAGAAGACGACGAAGCCCGTGCGGGAACGTCGCGTGTCAACGTCGGAGGCGAACGACGCATCCGAGTACGCTGAGAGTACGCCGTCGGCAGTGCTGCCGTTGCTGGTGTCGCCAGTGGCGGCGTACTTGATGGTGTAGGACAAGGTGCCCTTGATGTAGCGAAGAAGGTGCTTGGCAGCCTTCCAGTGGTCCATGCCGAAGTGCTGCATACGGCGAGACAGGATGGAGACAGCCGCCGAGATGTCTGGGCGCGTCATCGTCGCAGCATAGAGGAGGGAGCCAAGCAGCTCGCGGAACGGCACGTCCGGCAGTGGCTCCTCCTTGTCGGCTGGCTTGTCGACGTAGCCCGTGCAGAGCGGCGTGCCGACAGGCTTGCAGTCAGCCATGCCGAAGGTCTCCAGCACGCTGCGCAGGTAGTGCTCCTGGCTCATGGTGACGGTCCTGGCCTTGCGGTCGTGCTGCACCTTGATGCCGAGACAAATGTCTGGGCTGCCCAGGTCCTTCATCTTGAAGCGCTTGGAGATGGCCTTCTTGAACGCGGCCATGTCGCTGTCGCTGTCGGCGAAGATGAGGAGGTCGTCCACGTAGA